GGTCCTGGGAATCTAATTCAGATCCTCAGGCTTGGCATCAGATGCCTTTACCCACTGAACCATATGGGAGGCCTAACTTGTTGTCTGCTAATTTTTAAAGACGGGGTCTCATGTAGCTGGGGCTAGCCTTGAATTAAATTAGCCTCCTACCTACATCTCCCAAGTGCTGGGATTATAAGAGTGAGCCATCATAGATTGGTGTGTGTGTGTGTGTGTGTGTGTGTTGCTTGTGTTGCTGGGTATTGAACCCAGGACCTTATCTATGCTAGGCAAACCCTCTACCACAGAGCTCTAGTCCCAGCAGAAAAGGAAGATTTGGCTGCCACTCCCTTCTCATCCTTCAGAGTTCATAGAAGAGGGTTTTTGTTGTTGGTTGTGGAGATTTTTCTCTCTCTTCTGTTAAGTTAGTCAATTAGAGGCCTGTTTGGCAAGCTTCATGAGGCAAAGGACCATTATTTGATTTGGTGGGGTTTTAAATTTTTTTAATTGTATGTGTGTGTTATGCATGCACATAACTGTGGGGGTACATATAACCATGGAAGGCATGCGGAGGCCAGAGGAAGAATTCAGGTGTCTTCCTCTGTCACTATCTGCCTTATCACCTTGAGACAGGGTCTTTCACTGAACCTGAAGTTTACTATTTCAACTAGGCTGACTACACAATCAGTGAACTCCTGGTATAAACCAGGCTCTACTCCCCGGTATTGGGTTTACATACAGCTATGATTTTCACATAGACACTGAAGATTTGAACTCAGGTCCTCATTCTGGTACAGCAAGCATTCTTAGCCACTTAGCCATCACTTGAACCCTTGGTGGGATATTGTGTTATTTTGTTTATTTTGCATTACCGGAGATTGAACATAAAAGTCTCTTAGATGTTACACAAGTGCTCCACCAAGAGCTATGTTCCCAGGCCTGGTTTAGGTTTTTTGTTTTCATTTTCTTTTTGATGGAAGGCGTCTCTATGTAGCCCAGGTTAGCTTTGAATCTGTGATCTTCTGCCTTCTGCCTTCTGAGTATTGGAACTATAGGCACACACATCATACTTGGTTAAAGGGACATGTTTTATTCATGCTTGTAATCCAGAGACTGACCTCTGTACTTTAGCCAAAGCTCCTCATGAGATGACTACTAGAAATAACTTATCTAGTGCTGGAGAGATAACCCAAGTTCAGTTCCCAGAACCCATACTGGTTCACTCACAACTACCTGTAACTCAAACTCCAGGGTCATCTGATTCCTCTGGTCTCCATGGGCACCTGCACTCGAATGCATATACCCACACAAAGACACATGCACATAATTAAAAATAGTAATTTAAAAGGCCAAGCATGGTGGCATATGTCTTTAATCCTAGCACTCAGGAGGCAGAGGCAAGTGGATCTCATTGAGATGGGGTCAAGAGTGTTTACATGGCAAGTTCCAGGCCAGCCAGGGCTACATAGTGAGACCATGTTTCAAAAAATAATAAGGGCTAGAGAGCTGGCTCAGCGGTTAAGAGCACTGCACTAGCTGCTTTTGCAGAGGACCCATGTTTGATTCCTAGCACCCACATGGCCACTAACAGCCATCCTTAACTCCAGTTCCAGGGGAAACCAACCCCCTCTTCTGACCTCTGCATGTATTTCATGACACAGGTGTACTCACACACGTGCAGGCAATACACTCATATGCATGAAATAAAAGTAATAAAATATTTTTAAATAATAAATAAATCTTTTTTAAAAATCAAATGCCTGCTTGAACAAAGGGAGGGATTCAGACTCTCCTATAATAGCTGGGCTCTCAGAGAAAAGCAAAGCCCGACAGAAAACACCCTGTGGGGTATGAGGATGGAGACTTTTGAATGGGCTTGTTTACAAAATTTTCTCAGGAGCCCTGTGCTTTGGAGTTAGTTGGAAATAAGTAAGCAAGAGGGCATCCCTCAGCATCCTCTCCTTTTCCCTCTAAGTCAGAGATCATATTTTCCTTCATCAGGACTCCAGCCCTTGCTCTCAACTATCTAACCTATCATCCAAACTCCTTCGTGTTCTGGTTTCATATGTGTCAGTGTTGACCAGAGAGGCAAGGATGTATATTAAACAACTTATGGTAAGGAATTGGCTTGCCCATAGTGAGGGCTGGCCAACCTGGTCTGAAACCCTTGGGCAGACTATCAGAAAGGGTAACAACTAAAGCCTCAGTCTTCAGGCCTGAGTTGCTTTTTGGTGATGTTGTAAACTTTTTCTTTCTTTTAGGACAGGGGTTCTTGCTATGTAGACCAGTCTGGCCTCAGACTCACAGAGATCTGCCTGCCTCTGCCTCCTGAGTACTGAGTTTAAAGGCTGAGATTAAAGTCATGTGCCATCACACCCAGCTAAGTTTCTTTTACCTCAGGGAAAACTTAATTCTGTTTTTAAAGGTCTTTCAACTGATTGAATCAGACCCACCCAGAATAACTAGGAAAACCTTTCTTAACTTGAAATCACCATGGACATTAATCATACTTACAAAATACCTGGTCTACATAGTGATTCCATGGCTAGCCAGAATTTCATGGTGAGAAAAAAAGAAAAAAAACCCTACAAAATACCTCCATAGCAACACTTAAATCTGGTTTTTTTTTGGTTCCTTTTTTTCTATATATCTTTTAAAAGTTTATTTATTATTTGAGTTATGTGTATGTGTGTATGATTGTATGATTGGGAAATGGGGTCAGAGAACAACTTTTGGGAGTCAGTTCTCTCCTCCAACCCGGATCAAACTCAAGTTTCAGGCTTTCTGTGGCAAATACTTTTACTTGCTGAGCCATCTCACTGGCCCTGAGCTCTCAATATACCCTCTCTCACTCCACAAATGCATCCACCTTCCCTGGCCTTTATTAAGTCTTTTCTCTCTGTTCTGTATGCTCGGGTTGCTAGCCAGTATCTCATGGGGATCATTTCCTAGAAGACCTTTCCTATATCCTCTCAACTTGGTTGCATTTCTCTAGCTCCAAGTGCTGGGATTATAAGGGGTACACTACCACACTTATTTTGGTATTGTGAGGATTGTGTATTATTCTTTATAAAAAATACCCTCCAGAGGCCTGATATATAAGAACTCAGCATATTTCTTGTTTTGGTTGTCAGCCTTAGCCTTTTTTTGTTTTGTTTTGTTTCTTATGAATTATGTTAAATTTACAGAACCCACCACAATTTACATATAGCCCAGTCACACTTTTCAAAACCTCGCTTCATCTAGGTATGATGGTGAAGACTTTTAATCCCAGCACTTGGGAGACTGACACAGAAGCATTGCCTTAAGTTTGAGGCCAGCCTAGACTGCATAGAAAATATCAGGCCACCTAGAGTTACATAGCAAGACTTGGTTTCAAAACAAAAGAAACCGGCTGGAGATATAGCTCAGTTGGTAAAGTACTTTCCTAGCATGCAAGGAGCCCTTAGTTTCATCCTCAGCACCGCATAAACCACTTATGTAATCCCAGCACTCAAGAAGTGGAGGCAAGAGAATCAGAAGTTCAAAGTCATAGCAAGTTAGAGACCTAGAGATCTTGTCTCACAAAAACAAAAAACAAGAGAGGCATGAAGTTGCGCATCTTTAATCCCAACACTCTTGAGGCAGAGGCAAGTGGATCGCTTTGATTTTGAGGCTGGTATACATAGTGAGTTCCAGTCCAGCCAGGGCTAGGTATCGAAAACCTGTCTCAAAACAAACAAAAACAAAAACCAACAATAAACACAAACATCCATATCTCATTTTTTATGATCCCAATATCCACCCACTCATATACATTGTCCTAATCTGGTGGACTAATTTGTCCATGTCCACCTATCCCTAAAGGTCTGCAGACATTTTTTCCTTAAATTATTTTAATTTATATCTCCTTTTTTCCCTTTTTAAATACAGAGTCTCACTATATATGCCAGGCTGGTTTGGAACTCACAATCGTCCTGCCTCAGCCTGCCCAGTGTTAGGATTATAGGAATGAACCACCATACCTGGTACAGCTGCTTTTGACTAAAATTGTGTGATTTTTCTCTTCCATATAATTCATGGTTGGAGTATGTTTAGTGAAAATGAGATGTAAGAATAAAGGTTTGCATTGGTCTACATAGCAGGTATCATTATAAAAATAATAAAACAATGTAAAAAAGTCATTATTACAACACCAGCTTGCCATAATACCATTGTGTCAGACAGACCTAAACATTATACTCTTTATGTGAAGTCCCATAATTCTTTTTTTCTTTTCTTTCCAAGCTTTAGAGCTTAAAATCAGAACTTTACACCCAATGTTTTGGAAAAGTCACACGCCTTCCCTTGCTTGAAAATACTAGATCCCAGTGTTGAAGCAAAATACAACTTTCTCCCGCACTGTCTCAAGCGACATGCCTTCTGTAACTTTCCCCCTTGGACTAGTCTTTCAGGTAAAAACTACACTTGGTATTTACAAGGAGTAAATAAGCCTTTTAGACGGGATGTGCCTATGTTATGGCTGTCTCTATAATGAAAAACTGCTTTAATTTAACCTCATATTTATAAAAATAAAAATCATGATCAGAAACCTGCATGCTCACGTGACTATCATCCTGATGAAATAGATTTACTTAAATGGAACTGCAAGCCAGGGCCATCAACCTCTGGCCCTGAGGCGAAAAAAGAAAAAGAAAGAGACAAACAAAAGAAAAGAAAGGAAGAAAAGAAAACGTGGATGATTTCCCTTTTGCAGGAAAGATCTGGCCCTCTGCGTCATCAGTCTCCCACCACCCACATCCCCCGCTCCGTGTCAGAAACATCTTCAGACTTTGCTGCAGGAGCTTGGCGACCTCCGCGCTACTCAGGAGGCGGGGCTACTTTTTAGCCTCGCCCCACTCTTGCCCTTCAGCCAATTACAAGAGAGAATTGCTGGCCGGGACCGCTACCGGAAGACTCCGCCCCCCTAGCTCCAGCTCAGCCAATCATGGCTGACTGGGTGGGGACTTCCTCTGCGGTCCCGCCCCCTGAGCGCTGGGTAATTTAGAGCCGCGCACAGGGCGGGAATCTAAGATGGCGGAGTAGCAACGCGGAGCGGTCGGTATTAAGGCTCTCAGCAGACCCCGGTTCCAGTCTCCGTTGCGGCAGGGACCGCTGAACGAAGAACGCATTAGGTAGTCGCCCAAGATGCCGAATATCAAAATCTTCAGCGGCAGCTCCCACCAGGATTTATCCCAAAAAATTGCTGATCGCCTGGGCCTGGAGCTCGGCAAGGTGGTGACTAAGAAATTCAGCAATCAGGAGACCTGGTAAGGGTGAAATTGGGACCCCGACCGCACTTCACCTGCCCCTGGGCGGCAGCCATGAGGGATGGGGTCCCACCGGAGTTCAGGGGTAGTAGGGGAGGGCTGAAAGGGGCTGCTGAGGTTAGTGTGCCCCAAGGGCTGTTTCCGTTATTTTGCTTCGTGCGGGAGGGTCGCGTTCATCCTCACGCGTGGTGAGGTGGAGTCCAGGTGGAGAGGGAGGCGCCGCCGAGCGTTTGACGGCTAGGGATGGAGGACCTAGTGCGCTGGGTAGTGACTTCCTAAAGCGCCAGGAGGGGGACCGAGGCTGAGCCTGGGCCATGGGGACACGTGGCTTGTCTCTTCACTGTGGAGCCGTCAGGCTGGGCTCGCTTTCGGCTTGTAGACTTGTTTGCATTTGAGAGCTGCCGTATTCTGTGCCGCCTCGTGGTCTTTCTAGCTTTGAAGTGGTAATGGTCCTTAAGAGAAACTGGTATTCTGTTCTGTGGGGGCGAAAATGTTATGACTTTTTTAGATTGGTAAGCGTTGGTTTTTCATAGTCTTTCGAATTGTCAGTGGAGGAATCCGAGCCATCCTTAAGTTAATGGGATAAAGTGATGCATTAACTCTGCATCATTGATATCGAACATCTTTGCTTGAGGCATCCCGAAAGTCCTAGTAAAACCTTAGTTGTGGAATTGGAATCTCTGACCTTCCTTAATGACGGGACTGGTAGAGATAACACACCAGCGCATTTTTCAATAGCTGCCTCTTCCCTTAGCGCTGTGTGCGAGGGAATCTAGAGAACTTAAACCTGAATTTCAACAAATGAGGACAAGATAGTGTTCAGAGTGAATTGCAATCTGAATGTTTTTCGATGCGTACCCATTAAAACTCTGAGTCTCACCCAGGCGTGGTGGTGCACGCCTGCAATCAGATCAGAGCTCTGAGACTGAGGGAGGCAGATCACCACAAGTTTGAGGCTAGCCTGGTCTACTTGGGGAGTTCTAGACTGGCCAGGACCACTGAGGACATCTCACTAAATCTGTCAATCACTCAATTCCCACCCCCTCTTCCGGTTGTCCACATGCATTGTTGGACCATCTTAGAGGTAACATGATTGATTATATGCTTCTTTCAATGCTCCTTCCAGCTAACTGTGGAATCTTTTTAGTTCTGATGGATGTTCTGTGTTTTCTTGTTATCCTGTAGCAGATTAGATCAAACAAAAGCACAACCCTCAATCCTTTTCATTTGCTTGTGTTTTGTTTTAGGTTTTTTGAGGCAGGGTCTCCTTATATACATAGATCGGTCTGGCCTCTAACAGCCTCTGCAGAGTGATGGAATTACAAGCATGAGCCACAAAGCCCAAACACAGCCCATAATCTTACAGTCATCTGTTAGGGGTCAAGGGCTTGTTTGTGTGTGTGTGTTGTTGGGGTTTTTTTGTTGTTTTTTGGTCTTTTTGAGACAGGCTCCCCCTGTAGCCCCAGCTGGCCTTGAACTCACAGAGATCTGCCTGCCTTTGCCTCCCCAGTGCTGGGATTAAAGGATGCTACACCACCCCTGGCTAAGTTTATAATTTTTAAAAAATAATTATCATTTAAATTACATGGGATTATTTTCTGACTTTTTTTTACTTTATTTTCTTATAAACTCTTATTTTTTAGACCTAGCTGATACAAGTTCATCTGTAATGGATAGCTTCTTCCTGGATTAGAATTCTGTTAAATGTGCTGTAGATGCTAGTGTAAACACTGCACCATCTGTAACCAGGCAATACCTTAGCCAAAAGAGGTGTGCAAGCTGCTGTTTGGACCTCAATAAGGAAAACAAAACAGCACCAGACTTTGAGACTGACAGCTTAGCTAGGAGGACAAGAATGCTTTTTATTGGGAGGTTTACTTTGATCCCTGTGATTATTAACTCTTTTTCCTATGCTCTCCGGGAAAAGAATGTGAAGAATATATTGTGTTAATCCTGCCCACTGCATAATGTAATATACCAGAATCTGAGGTTATATTTGTAGCAGTGGTAGTGGGGGGTTGAGCAGCCTAGTGTTTTCTACTGATTCTTTTTTTTTTTTTTTTGGCATTTTTGAGACAGGGTCTCCCTGTAGCCCCAGCTGGCCTGGAACTCACTATGTAAACCAGGCTGCCCTTGAACTCACAGAGATCTGTCTGTCTCTGCCTTCCAAGTGCTGGGGTTAAAGGCGTGCACCACCATGCCTAGCCAGTCTAATGGACCATTTTGATTAAGCCCAACTTGGGTGATTGCTGACTGACTAGTTTGCTTATGTCTGGCTTAATTATTAGCTTTTTGGTTCCATAGAGATTCTGAAATCTTTAGTGAACATAAGTTTTTTCCCCCCTTGTTTTCAGTGCTGGGGATTGACCAGGGCTCCACACAAACTAAGAAAGCATTCTACCACTGAGCTGTATCCCCCAACCCTTACTTGTACCACCATTTTTCATCACCTTATTTTTAAAATTTCTTTATTCTCAATTATGTGTATGTGTGTCTGTGTGTAATGAGTGCAGGTGCCAGTGGGGGGCAGAGGTGTGGGATCCTCCTAGAGCTAGAGTTACAGGCCGTTGTGAGCTGCCAGATACGGGTACTGGGAACTGAAGTTCAGTCCCCTGGGAAAGAAGTGTATTCTCTTAACAGCTGAGCCATCTCTCCAGCTTCCACTACCTTCTTTTTTTTAATTTTATTGTTTTTATTTTTTTTTTATGTGTATGTGTGTATTACCCGCATGTATGTGTAAGTGCACCTGTGTTGTGCCATGCCCATGGGGGTTAGAAGAGGGTGTCAGATCCCCTGGAACTGGAGTTAAAGATGATTGTTAGCCACCACGTGACTGCTGGGAACCAAACCTGGGTCCTCTGCAACAGTAGCCAGTGCTCTTAACCACCAAGCCATCTTTCCAGCCACCACCTTATGTTTAACATATATAAATAACGTCTTTAAGTTTTAAGTACTGCTTTCCCATAACATCCTTCCTTGCTGAGGAAATTTTAGCTTTAAGTTTTAAGCTGGTTTTGAAAAATGGCTAAGCTATTGGTTATTCAATAGTATGATAATCAAAATGGTACAAGCAGTTGGTGGATAACGACCTAAGTGATTTTCTTTCTTTCTTTTTCTTTTCTTTATGAGACCATATAGCGATGACTGGCCTGGAACTCACAGATTCATTCACCTGCCTCTGCTTCCCTAGTGCTAAGATTAAAGGTGTATGCCGCCACACCCAGCACGTGATTTTTATTTGTTTACATGTTAAGAAAGTAGCTCACTGTGTAGCTCAGGTTGACTTTGAACTGGAGGCTTTCCTATTTCAGCCTCCTGAGTACTGGGATTAACAGGCCTGTGCCGTCATGCCTGGCCTCAGAACACACAAATTTTAAGGAATCACCTTCTGCTAAAGCCATAAAGCTATTATATTCAGCATATGTTCTCGGGTGTTTAAACTGGCAATGATAATTGTTCTGTTTGGAAATTTTTGTCCCTTTTTTACCTTTTTCTTGACATATATTGTTAAAAATGATGGGCTTTGTTTGTGCCAAAGAACATGTTTTCTCTCAGGAAAATCTAGATAATTAGGTTTTATAACTAATACCTCACCGGCTTTCAAGAAAGTATTTGAAGTGTTTTTTCAACAGTCACAAAAGCAAGGGTTTTGATCAGATATTAGAAGCCTTATAGAACAAAGGACTGTAGTAATTGCGCCAAAAAACTTGGTGTAAAACGATTATTGAAGTTAGTGTTACTTTAACTGCATCCTTGGCTCCCTGGCAGCTGAAAGCATATGTAATGGATTGTATAGTTTTATTTTCATAAAGCTCTTTAGAGACTTCCATATATAAACTCCTAAAGATTTTTGGGATATTTATGTACTGAGAACAAGTAATGTGCAATATAACAATTGTGGGTATTTTTGGTATTGACTAATAGTTGAGGCTTTTGTATAAGTAGATAAGCCACCCTGATCTAAAAGCTTAGAGAAAGAAGCCTGTCCTTTATACTGTCTGGGGTCAATTGTGAAATTGTTCATTTGTTCTCTACCTTCCTAATCAAATACCCTGACTGATAGGTGAGTATGTGGTATATTGTACACATGATATTCTGTGTTCTTAAACTACAGCCATAGACCTCTGGTCCCACATGTAGAGGGCAAAGATGACCTTATTGGAAATCAGTATGCCTGACTTCTCTTCCCCCAGAGAGATAGTGATCTGGTTCAAGAAGGTGAGATGTGGAAGAGGAATACAGGCATAGGGAGGCTTAGCCTCCTTTTTTGAAACAGGATCTCACTATGTAGCCTTGTAGCCTTGGTCTAGAGCTCTGGTTGGCTTCCAACCCAGAGATGAGTCTACCTCTGCCTCCCAAGTGCTGGGATGAAAGGCCTGTGCCACAACCATTTTTTGAAGTTACTCAATTATTGGAAACACTTGATCAAGGCCTCAAGCGCTGTAAAACCAGCAGTTCTTTTACCTGGGAGTCTCTCAAAGGACAGTGGTAATATTAAAGACCTGGGGCTGGGACACACCTTTAATCCCAGGGTTCTGGCAAATCTGAGTTCAAGGCCAACCCCCTCTCCGGAGGGAGGTCTAGGCCATCCAGGGATATATAGTGAGACACTTTTGTCTCAAAAAAATCCCCAAAACAGATGTGTTTAAGCTATCACTTTCTTTTGGATACAAGACAGTAAGTAATGGAGTGTGCTTATAAGGAGGCATTGTTTAAGTTCAGCCTTGTTTTACACTCAGGCAGATCATACCCCAGGGTCCCCAAGTGCTAGGATTACAGATGTGTGCCACTGTGACTGGCTAATTCTTTGGGGGGGGGGGCTCTGTAGCCCCAGCTGGCCTGGAACACTATGTAGTATGTAAAGCTGGTCTTGATCACACAGATATTTGCCTGCCTCTGCCTCTGCCTCCTGAGTTCTGGGATTAATGGTGTGCATAATTCTATGATTCTATTTTTGAGACAGTCTTGCTTTCTAACAATGGCTAATGCCAAATTCAAGAACCCCTTTCCCCAGCCTCCAAAGGGCTGGGATTATAGTTAACACATCATGCTCTAAATTTTAACATATTTTATTTATCCTAATGGATCCTTTCCTATAATTTCGGTGTGGAAATTATAGAAATGCTTTCCTTTTATTTATGCCTTCTTTAAGATAAGGTTTTATTTTCCATGTAAAGCGTATCTCAATCAATTCTTCAGACACACCAGCCATGTTTTATTTTATTTATGGTTGTTTTGTTTTGAGACAGGGTTTCATGTAATTCAGATTGGGTTCAAACTGCTCTGTAGCTTAGGATGGCTTGAACCTTCCTCAACCTCTGTAAATGCTTCATTAGCCACCATGAGGCCAGTTGTTCCTGTATTGTGCCATGCCTTTCAAGGCCTTGTTTGGAAAACATGGAAGTTGTTCTTCTAAAAAGACCTCTTGGGAGCTCTGTGCTTTATGGGCTTCTGTAAATCTTGAAGAATATTTTCAGAATGTAGTTTTGGCATTGGCATAGTTGATTGTAAAAAGATCAAATTGTTTCTTTCTGGTCTTTTTGAAATAGGGTTGCCCCCAGCTGACCTGAAACTCACTATGTAGACCAGGCTGGCCCCGAACTCACAGAGCTCTGCCTGCCTCTGCCTCGAAAGTGCTGGGATTAAAGGTGTGGTCCACCACTCCCAGCTATGTTGTTTTTTTAAGGTTGATCTTAGTGATAAAAAACATGTCTTCAGTAGAGAGGATACTTACCCTTTGTATCAGGCAAAGTTCATATAAAAGCTGAACTAGAGCTGGGGAGATGATGGTTTAATGGGGATAGTAATAGTAAGCAAGCATGAGGACCTGAGTTCATATCGTCACTGCCCACATCCCAGTGTTGGCAGAAATGAAATAATCCTGAGGGTTTGTTAGTCTGTCAACCTAGCCAGTGGGTGAGCTCAGCTCAGGGTTCAGTGAGAGACCCTGTCTCAAAGTAAGGTGGAGAACAATCCAGAGACACCCAGTGTTGGCCTCTGGCCTCCACTTGCTCTTGTATGGGTGCTCACATATATGTACATATTTTTGTTTGGTCCGATTAGTATATGAGTGTTTTGCCTGCTTCTGCCTCCCAAGTACTGGGATTAAAGGTGTGTGCCGCTATGGCCCGCCTATATTTTGTTGTTTGTTTTTTAAAGGCTAACCAAGTTAAGCATCATAACTGAAAGGAAAAAAAGAATAGACTATATTGAGTCAGCTATATAGAGGTCCATAATTGCTATTGTTTATTATCTTACCTCAGTATCACTTTGTGACCATCTCAGCTTGATGGACCCATCAGCTTGTAGTTGGACCTCAAATTAAATATGGCATAGTTGCAAAAGGGTATGAATGCATTTGCCAGTCTTTTAAAGAGCCCCATTTGTACCTGCTTCTAGTATAGAACAAGAAGTGAATGACTTTGCAAAGCCTAAAGCCTTATATGTTTTCCCAGTAGCAAGCCTGCTGTCTAGAGTGAAGGGAAGAGGCAACCTAATCCAGAAGGCTATTCATTTTCGTCATGTCATATTGGAACTGAATGGTACTGTCTGTCAGTGCACTGAAGGGAAACAGACACAAAAATAAGTCCATAAGTAATGAGATGATAACATTTATCATTAACATAACATTTATGATAACTGAGTGTTTTGAAGAGAATAACCTCAGTGATGAGAATAACTAGGGGAGAATCATTTTAGCTTTCTCTGTGTGTGTCTGTGTCTATATGAATATATATATGAGTTGTGTGTGGGTATGCATGGAGGCAAGAAGTGGGCATCAGGTCTCCTGGAACTGGAATTACAGGTGGCAATGAACTGCCCACCACAGCACCACTTTGGTACTGAGAACCAAACCAGTTCCCTCTCTTAACCACTGAGTATTCTCTCCAGCCCCTGTTTAACCTTTTGTGGTAGAACCTTCCAAGCATATACAGAAATAAAGTGGTAAAATGACCCCCTAGATCCATCACTCTGTTCGACAGTTATCAGTTTATGGCTAACCTTGTTTCATCTATTTTAGTTTCATACACATATATGCATATACAACCTGTACACACACATAAATATTGACAGTAATCCCTTAATATTGAAGTACTAGCCAGTGTTGCCAGTTCTCCCTGTCATGAATGCATAGATTATTTTTTCAGTCTTTTTGAGACAGGGTGTCCCTGTAGGCCCAGCTGTCCTGGAACTCACTATGTAGACCAGGCTGGCCTTGAACTCACAGAGATCCCCATGTCTCTGCCTCCCGAGTGCAAAGTTTAAACAATCTTTAAAAAATGTTTTACATTTATTGAGAGAGAGAGAGAGAGGTGTGTATGTGAGAGAGAGAGAGAGAGAGAGAAAGAGAGAGAGAGAGAAAGAGAGAAAGAATATGTGTGGAGGTCAGAAGACAATTTGTAGGAGTCGATTTTCCCATTCACATGGGTCCTAGGGATGGAGCTCAGGTCCTCCAGCTATGGCAGCCGGCACCTTTAAGACAATCTTTTATTACATTTGTGGAGGTGGAGCATGTCAGCACATACCCGTAGAGGTCAGAGGACATCCGACATGAGTCCATTCTCATGTTCCACCATAGGTCTGGGAGATTGAACTCAGGTTGCCAGGATCTGTGGTAAGTACCTTAATAGTGAGCTATCTCACTGGCCATGGTTTTGTTGGACTATTGTGTTGTTGCTTTGTATTTGAGACAGGGTTTTCACTGTGTAGCTTAGGCTGGCCTCTAATTCAATGATCGTCCTGCTGCAGCTTCCTGAGTGCAGAGATTACTGGCATGTGTCACCCCACCCATCTAAAAATGTGTTTTTTAATTTGAAGTAGTACACAAATAAGAGCTATACATAGAGTGTAATTGACTGATAGTGAGTTTTGTGTTGCTTTTATTTAGTCACATTTATATGTGTATAACACAAAGTGGCTTCACATTTTTCAAGTTGCCTATTATATAGCCTGATCCTCCGTGTCTCCACCTGGAATTAAAGGATGCAACCAATTTATGATTAGTTGGGATCTAACCCAGCCCACCCCCGCCCCACCCCATGCATGTTGAGCAAGCAATCTCAAACTAAGCTACATCCTTAGCTCTGCTACTTTTGATTCCTTTAATAAGACTTTTAGGAAAGGCATTTTGGTTGGAGGCCCCCCCAAAATGGGTAAGGTAGTTGTGGGCATTCTAGATACTGGGAAGAAATAGAGGTTGTGGAATGGAAAAAGGTATGTTCAAGCAATATAAGGAAAGAGAATGTGGCTGATAATGACTAGCTAGGGAGGAAATATTTTGAGACACATTAGGCCTTTTTTTTCTTTTCTTGAAGAAAAGTAATGGTATATAGTTCTGGCTTTCATTGAAGTCTTGCCTCAGCCTCCTCAATGCTGGGAGTACAAGTATGTACCACTACTATTGCCTCGCCTTTCACTGAAGGGTGCAGTAATGGTTTACTTGAGTATACACAGCTGTAATGTGCTCATTTTCTTTACTTCTTTCTTTTCTTTACTTTTTTAATGTATTTATATAGACAGGATCTCACACTGTAGCCCAGGCTGGCCTCAACCTACTGAGTGTTGATAACAGGCATGGTGGTACCTCAGGAGGTAGACACAGGAAAATCAAAAGTTCAAGGACAAACTCAGCTACAGAGTGAGTTGGAAACCATCCTGGGCTGAGACCTTGTCTCAAAAAAATCAAAAATAAATAAATCCTGCATTCGATCCCTAGTTTTACAAAAAAATGAATTTTAAGATAACTGTAGGTTTTCTCCCTTTCTATGGTGTCTTTTAATATCATCTTCATCTGGTTTCAGTACCTGAGTAATTGCCCTCATAAAATGTCTTAAAATGTTTACCTCTCACCTGTTTTCTTGAAAATATATATCAAATTAGCATTAATTCTGTTTAAAATGCTAATAGAATTCTCCACTTAAGCTGTTTGCTTTTCTTCCTAGAGGTTCATCAATGGTATTTATTCTTTCCTTCCTGTATAAGTCAACTTTTTGTTTCATTTATTTTTTTCCCTATTTTTAATTTCAGTGATTTCAGCTCTTTTATTTTTATTTTTCAGACAAGGTCTCTATGTAGCCAGGCTAGCCTTAAAATCACTATCACTTTGCCTTAGTCTCCTGAGTATTGGAATTATAGATGTACACCACCAACCCTTGTCCCAATTTTTACACTTTAAACATTTCGTTGTGTGTGGAGGTCAGAGGACTACTTTGTGGGGTCAGTCCTCTCCTTCCACTTTTATGTGGGCTTCAGGGCTTGAAGTCTGTATCTGCTAAGACATCTTGCTGGCAATACCCTCCCAGCACTTCTTTTTTTTTTTAATCATAAATTTTTCTTGAGTAACTTACTAAGCAAGATTTATTGCTTGGGCCACAATAATTATCACAGAATGAGGTCAAACAAAGCCCCCATCTGTTTCATTCACCATTGCATTCCTAGCACAGTGTCTTAACATAAGCATATTAAATATTTACTGAATGAGAGCCTAGAGAGATGGCTCAGTGGTTAAGAGCACTGGCTGTTCTTACACCAGGTTCAAATCCCAGCACCCACATGGTGGCTAACAACTGTCCGTAACTCCAGTTCCAGGCGATTAGACACCCTCTATCCCCCACAGACATTGCATGACATGGGTGTACTTGCATACATGCACGCAATACATATAAAATAAAAGTAATGCAGCCGGGTGTGGTGACGCATGCCTGTAGTCCCAGAGGCAGGAAGATCTCTGAGTTCCAGGCCAGCTGGGGCTATAGGGAGACCCTGTCTCAAAAAAGACCAAAAAAGGAAAAAAAAGTAAAGCAAAAAATATTTACCAAATGAATTGTTGGTATGGTAGAGGGGGTGCTATGAAGCTAGCCCATCTCTAACACTAGCAGTGGTGCTGTTTTCTAGACCTTACTATCTGGAGAGCTGCAGTGTGAGCTCAAAAAAAATCTATGATTGTGCTTGACTCTTTCTATTTTAGTGTGGAAATTGGTGAAAGTGTACGCGGAGAAGATGTCTACATTGTTCAAAGTGGTTGTGGTGAGATAAATGACAATCTGATGGAGCTTCTGATCATGATTAATGCCTGCAAGATCGCTTCAGCCAGCCGGGTTACTGCAGTCATCCCATGCTTCCCTTATGCCCGGCAGGATAAGAAGGATAAGGTAGGAATGGATTTTAATGGTGCTGGCTATCAGACCTAGAGCTTTCCACATGGTAGGCAAGTGCTCTGCCACTGAGTTATACCTCCATCTCATGATCTTTTTTATGTAGAGGAAGAAGGAACATTGCCCAAAGTCACAAAGTCCTTAACTATCAGTTATATATTTACAGGGCATTTTAAAAACCACATTTCCTTAACTGCCTCCCTGTCTTTAAAACAATAGACATACAATTGATTTTTAAAAGCGGTGTACTTATAATGTATATTTTTAATTATATTAAGACTAAACATTAAGAAAACATGCTAGAAAGATAATTTTTTGTACTGAAATGCATCCATTTTTGGAAGAATATTGTTCCACTTAGTGTTTGTACTAGATTATAATGTGCTCAAAAAAATTAGTGGCCTCATCTCTTTCCATGAATTTCTTGGTAGCTTAATGTCTTTTGGGGGGGGGTCTTTTTGAGACAGGGTCCCCTTGCAGCCCCAGCTGGTCTGGAACTCACTATGTAGACCAGGCAGGCCTTGAACTCACAGAGATCCGCCTGCCTCTGCCTCCCAAGTGCTGGGATTACAGGCGTGTGCCACCACGCCCGGCATTGTCTTTTTTTAATTAATTTATTAATTTTTTTTGGTCTTTTTGAGACAGGGTCTCCCTGTAGCCCCAGCTGACCTGGAACTCACTATGTAGACCAGGCTGGCCTTGAACTCACAGAGATCTGCCTGCCTCTGCTTCCTGAGTGCTGGGATTTAAGGCGTGTGCCACCACTATTTCTTGTGTATATGAGTATATTGTCTGCGTGTATAAGTGCACTTGTGTCATGCAATACCCGAGGAGGTCAGAAGAGGGCATTGGATTCCCTAAAACTGGAGTTATAGACAGTTGTTAGCTGCTATGTGGGTGCTGGGAATCAAACCTGAGTGAGTCCTCTACAAGAGCAGTCATTGCTCTTAACCGCTGAGCCATCTCCAGCCCGAATAATATCTTATATATAGGTACTTGTTAGATGTTTCTCAAGCAAATGGATTATTTTTCATATTGGGATTTGTTTTCTTTTTTTCTTCCTTTTCATTCAGAGCCGAGCTCCCATCTCTGCCAAGCTTGTTGCAAATATGCTATCTGTAGCAGGTGCAGATCATATTATCACCATGGATCTACATGCTTCTCAAATTCAGGTATCAATGGAAGCTAAATATTGGGAGTTAGAGAGTTGGGCAGAGAGCCAGGCATGGTGGTACATGCATATCATGTGGAAGCTGAAAGGTGAGGCAGGGGTTTTGAGACCAGCTTGGTCAAGATAGCAAGATCTTTTCTCTAGAAAGAAACTGGAAAGAAAAAAGGTGATTAGATAGTGAGGCAGTCTGGTATTATGGGAAGAACAAAAACTATCTTTATAACATTGTTACTTTTTAAACATGTATTCTTATGAATCTAAAGTAATAAATTAAATCTATAATATAATACTCAGCTGGTAACATGTACACAACAATGGTAGTTATTATCATCAATATTATTCCTCTTGAATATTCATAGCCTAAAATTTAGACCCACAGTCATTAAATAATTTTTCATAGAAACCTAGAGCAAGGGGAATAAAGTGCCATACTTATTTTATACTACCTAAGGAGGAGGCTTTCAGCCAGATATTGTAGTGCATCTGCAATCCTAGCACTTGGAAGGCTGAGTTTGGAGGATTGTGAGTTTCAAGGTAGTCTGGGCTACAGAGTAGACCCTGTTTTGAAAATATAAGTAGACTTAAAACTGTCACTACTTGAGTCTTCTGGTAATGTGAGGAAGTGCATAGAACAGAAGAGTATATTCATATTTTAGAAAACAATAGAGAAATTCAAATAATTCGTGTCAACTAGAAGTAGAACATATATCTCCTGCCATCTAGTTATTAAGTGTAACCATTCGTTATAGATATCTTCCCCCAAATCTTTATTCCATGCTACTACTACCTCTAGCTGCTTTCCCAGTTGGACCAGTACCGACAGTGACGTGAAACAGTGTACATTCATGTGTGTCTGAGCATTGACTGGTCAGTTCCTAGCTTTTGGCTGAACTTGACTGTTCTTCACAAGGGCTCATTCATTTCCTGTGGTCAGATGTGGGTTGGCTAATGACCAGTGTTGCTGATCTTGGCTGGGAGTTCTCAACCAAGCTTTGAGGAGGCTGTGTTTAGTTAGCACCCTGGGCATGCCTTCTCATTGGTTTGAAAGTTGTAGTAAGATGTTCTCTGTGTCTAAGTTATTACTTCCATTAAAAAAAAGTATTTATGTGGCGGGGTTGGGTGATATGGAGGTGCACATGGTTGCAAGCAGGCTGTCATGCATGTGTAGGTGAGACAGTTCTGGTGATCAAACTTAGGGCATCAGGCTTGGCCACAAGCACCTTTACCTGATGGCTTCATGTTCTGTACGTTAGTCATTCATAAATGGAAGAGAAAAAAGATAAAAGAGCTAACCCAGTTTCTTTCTCTAGGGCTTTTTTGACATTCCAGTGGACAATTTATATGCAGAGCCAGCTGTCTTAAAGTGGATTAGGGAGAATATCTCTGAGTGGAGGAACTGTACTATTGTCTCACCTGATGCTGGTGGAGCCAAGAGGTATGGTTGTAATTACCATTCTTAATGTACTGCCAACATCTTTCAGATATATCAACAGTGTGGTACTTTCTGTCCAAATGACACTTTATTTTTAAGTACTTCAGACTGAATGTAGCAGTGACTAGTACATATGTGTTTGATACATTTTTATTCTTTTTACTGGCCCGAGTCACTGCTTGGAAGATATGACAGAGAGCCCTAAATAGGCATTGCAATTATGGGCTTGACTATCACATTAGTAACATGGCACTACAGAGCTAACAACATTGCTATAAACTTACTGGAAGGGTGGGAAAATTCATGTGAAGTGAATGGCAGCTGCTTTTAAACTCCATGTTACTGGATAAGAAAGCTTTACATACCTCTTGTAAAGCTGTTGGTTAGATAATTTGGTCCTTGGGATTAAAATATTAAGCAGGAAGGGAAATAAATTGTGATTTTGTTTTGTTTGGGGGGGGGCCTTTTTTTGAGACAGGGTCTCTCTGTAGCCACAGCTGGCCTAGAATTCACTATGTAGACCAGACTGGCCTTGATCTCACAGAGATCCACCTGGCTCTGCCTCCCCCGAAGTGCTGGGATTAAAGGTGTGTACCAGTACATCCAACTAAAGTGTGGTATTTTTATTTAAAGCCAGGACCCTAAATTTTTTAAACAAACCTATTGCCAGGGATTGGTAGTTACAGTACTTTAAAAGCACACATAGTGCAGGCCCTTAATTTTCTTAGTGGATTGGATTACTCAGTGTTGGTCATACAAAGAAAAGAATGACAAATGTTCTTGTTGTGGAAATAGAATGAAGGGATGCAAAACACATGATTAGGAAAAGGTAATTTAGCCTCTTTAATTTCAGTAACTTCATTGGAGCTGATAAGCTGAGAACTTGAGCTCTCGTGGCTTAATGAACCCCATGCAATCACTAATTACGATCTGTGATACTAGTGGCAGCATAAAAGCATCCCTACATGGATAGTTAATCACACTTGTCTTAACTTCTTAAGCACTATCTTCACATCTTCCTGGGGGACTTAGAAAATAGATCATTTGAAATAATCAAGCAGGATTTTTTTTGAAGTTGAGAAAAAGAAAGCTGCCTTCCACAGATGACTTGCTATTGCTCTTTGTAATTTTTTATTCTAATTACTTTATAGTGATGGAGTATTTTCCAAGTGAGTGCTGCTCACTTCAGTCTTGGCAGGGTTGGGGAATAGGTAAGGATCCCTGTGTGATAGCAATTGGCACAGTAGTTCTCCACTCAAGTGTGTAACTTTTCTGCTTTCTTGGTGACTGAGTGTCTTGGCCAGTGAGCACGAACAGTTTGGGACACTTGAAGGCATTGATCATGTGTTTGTCTTGGGTATCATCATTCCAAGAACAGTGGTTAGCACTGGTGTTAGGTTCCTAAGCAATAGCAATAGAGAACACAGTGTGGTTCCTTTAGATCAAAGTACTAATGTTGCCTAGAGTTGACTTGCAAACCTTATACGATCAGAGGTTCTCTGCTGTCCAGCAAAAATTCTAGTCACAAAGAAAATAGGACATGCTATAATTTAATCATTGCTACATTTAAAAACACAAAACCTGAAGCACGAGCTTTTTGTTCACGCATGACAAAGATTGCACAGTGGCGCATGGGCACACGTCATGGGCAGCCCATTGTCATTTACATTGACTTTCTGCTTGAGTGGACTTGTTTGCCAACAGACATGTCTTTTAACCTTCCTTTTGGTGTGACTTGTATTATCTTTAATAAGGAAAAAATGTCAAAATTCTGTTCCTTTGCACATAGTTCGACCTTCAGGATCACATGCCCAGTTTGTCTGGTTAATTGGTTTAATTTTCTTTTTAGCATTTGTAAAAGGAATTCCCAAGCTTGGTGACCAGGTACAGTTGACACTTACCAGTTGGTGGTTGTGTTTCCACCATCATGGGAAAGAAGTGCACGGATATGCATTGAAAGGGTGGACAGTGTTTCATGTCCTCTGGCCTCAGGTTCATACTCACCACATCTGCAGTCACAAGCCTTCCTTGATGGAATGTGGGACAACTGTACACTCCCTGCTTTAGCTAATGAGATCTTCTCTCTTCCCTTCTGTTTTTAATTTAGTATACTAATGTACCTCAGCATATACTGCTTCCCAGGACTGGTACCTATACCTAGAACAAATGATTATCTAAGTTTGAGTTATATATATATATATATATTCCTTTACTGCTATTGGTATTATAGAGACATTAATCCATAAAATCCAATTTATAATGTTTGTATTTAAGATGTCAATGATAATTGATTTCTTCTATCTAGCCCTGGGAACTGTTTTAGTTTCTAGGAGTGTTCTCCTAGAAAAGAATCTTCTATATATGTGGGTACTAGGGTAGAGCCCAGGGTCTCATGCATGCTAAACAAGTTGTCTATTGTGAAGCTATACTCCCAACCTTGTAAGCCCTTTCTTCTGCTGTAGAAGCCACATATTTGTCTTTATAACTTTGAATATCCCCTATTTTGCAGAGTGACCTCCATTGCAGACCGATTGAATGTGGATTTTGCCTTGATTCACAAGGAGCGGAAGAAGGCCAATGAAGTGGACCGCATGGTGCTAGTAGGAGATGTGAAGGACCGTGTAGCTATACTTGTGGATGACATGGCTGACACTTGTGGTACAATCTGTCATGCTGCTGACAAGTGAGTGCAGAGTGCTGGACTAGTAGTTAGAAGCAAAAGGCTGCCTGCTGCTTTGCTATTTTTCAAACAGCTGAAGGGGTCAGTAGCTTTGGGAGGTTTTCATCCTGCTAGTCTTGAGTACATGTAAAAGTGAGTATTCACTATTTCATATTCTCTTGGTTTTTATAGTGATACTTTCATATCCAGTATACCCATAATAAGTTGAAACTGTCAAAAATTGAAAATCCATTGTATATGCCTAAACTTCTGAATGCCCTAGCTTAGTAACACAGCCTACTGTAGACTGGATTCCTCCCCTCATGATTACACAGCTGACTGGGAGCTGTGGTGAGTCAGTATTGAAGTGCGCATTGCTAGCTCAGGGAAAGATCTGAATTCCATATAGAATTTCTGCTGAATGCATGGTACTTTTGTGCTACCATAATGTTCAAAATTAAGTTTAAACAGTTAAAACAATATCTAAATAACACAATTAGCCTTTTTATCCTTTCTTTGTTTGGGGGGGGGTGTTGTTTTGTTTTGAGACAGGGTCTCCCTGTAGCCCCAGCAGGCCTGGAACTTACTATGTAGACCAGACTGGTCTTGATCTCACAGAAATGTGCCTGCTTCTGCCTTCTAGGTACAGGGATTAAAGGCATGCCCCACCATGTCCAGCCTTTTTTGTGTGTATTTTAGACAGGGCGTAACTCATGATGATGATCAGGCTGGGCTAAGTCTCACAGAGATCAAAACACTAGGATTAAAGACCTGCACCACTGTAGCCAACTAAATCATTTTTAACTGTACAATTACATTTATATATATTCTCATTAGTACATTTTTTAAAAAATTTGTATGTATGTATGTATGTGTGTGTGCATGCATGACAAGACTAGAGTGGAGGTAAGGATAATTTTCAGGAATTTTTTTTTCCTTCCATTATGTGGGACACATAAATCAAGCTCAGGTCTTCAGGCTTGGAAACAAGTACTTTTACCCTCTGGGCAATGTTACCAGAATTTTATTTTCATAAATTAGAAAGTTATCTTTTGGGAACTGCAGGTAGGTTTTGAGATTTTTTTGACATAGTCTCATGTATACCTTAAAAACCTCATCTTCCTGCCACCATCTCCCAAGTGCTGGGATTATAGGTTTGTGCCACCATACCTGGCCAAGCCTTGTTTCTAACCTTCTGTCTATTATAGATTCTACTGTGTCAGGAGGCTAGAGACTGATATTGTTGGATGTTTTCTTCAGTCTCTCCACCTTATTTTTTGAGACAGAATCTCTTACTGAACCTATTGATTTGACTAGACTGGCTTGCTAGCAAACCCCAGGGATCTTCCTGTCTCTGCCTCTCAAGCACTATGATTTTAGGGCCATACCACTGCACCTGACTTATGTGGGTACTGGGCCTTGAACTCTGGTCCTCATGCTTATACAGCAAACTACCTTTTGAGCCATGTCTCTAGCCCATGGCTTCTACTTTTTTGTTGGTTTATTTGGCTTTAAGACAGGATCTCACTATGTAGCCAATGTTAACCTCAAAGTCACTATATAGCACAGGTGGGCCTTAAACTTCCATTGAGCCCTCTGCCTTAACCTCCCAAGCATTGGAATTGTAAGCATGTGCCAGCATGGCCAGCTTTAGCTGCTACTCTGCTCTTCAGAATACTTTTTGCCTGAATGTTTCTAAACTGTCTTCCCACTTTGCCCTCCCATTTCAGTCTCTAGTCTCTTACTTCCCCAGTTCATCTTTCACATTACCTCTGAGCTCGCTATAATCTTCCTAAATCTGTGGCTACATGCCATCACTTTTCTGTAGAATCTTAAATCCCAGCAATTAATAATTTTAAACTCCTAAGTGTTCATGCCTGGCACATAATAAGTACTTAAAATCAGTTTGGGTACTGAGTGATTCTTGGCTTGGATCGTCATAAAACCTCTTTCATCCTGTTAGTGAAGTGGTGCTAAGTTATCTAACAAATCCGCATCCTAGGCAGTGAGATGATTCAGCAGGTAAGGGCTCTTGCCAACAAGCCTAATGACCTGAGATGGAAACCCAGGACCCACGTGGTGGAAGGAGAATTGACTCCCATAAATTGTCCTCTTACTCTTACCACCTGTTCTAGGTTGTTTTTCCATTGCTGTGACAAAACACTGTGACCACTACCAACTTGGGGAGGAAAGGGTTTATTTGTCTTACATCTCCCAGGTCACAGTTCATCAGGGAGACCCAGGTAGGAACTCAGGGCAGGAACCTGGAGGCAGGAGCTGGAGCACAGGCCACAGAGGATCACTGCTTACTGACTTGCTCCCTGGCCCCTGCTCAGCCTGCTTTCTTATGCAACACAGACCCACCTACCCAGGGGTGGTACCACCCACAGTGGGCTGGGCCCTCCCACATCACTCAACAAGAAGATTCCCCACATACATGGCCACAGGCCAGTCCTATGAAGGCAATTCCCCAATTGAGGCTCCCTCAACCCAGGTGTGTCAAGTTGATACTAAAGCTATCCAGCACACCACCACAGGTACACCCTGACATGTGCATGCTCACACATATACACACACACACTCTAAATAAAAATAAAATTTAAAAATCCACACTATAAAAACATCAATGACAACATGATAAAAAGTTACTTTTATCAGTTCACCAGTGGTAGAACACTCCAAAGCAAGGGTTCCTGGTTGGGCTCATTTTCAGTGATATTGACTTTAAATCATTTGTTTTATTTTTTGAGGCAGAATTTGGCCTGGAACTCACAATGTAGACCAGATTGGTAGAGATTCCCCCCATGCCTCTGCCTCCCAGTGCTGAGGTTAAAATTATATGCTACCAGGCCTGGTGATTTTGAGTCTTTTGATCCTTGATACTTATCTGGATCTTGAAGCTTTATATGGACAGAACTGAGTCTTCCTAAAATTCATGTGTTGAGTCCTAGACCCAGATATGATGGTTTGGGGGATTACCTTTACAAGATATTTAAGTTTAGATGAAATCTTGAGAGCAGAGCCCTCATAGTATCAGTGCCCTTATAAGAAAATGCTAGAGGCATTATGGGCACTTTCCCTTTACACATGCACAAGAATGTCCTATAAGCACACAATTAGTACACATAGTAATTCCAGAAAACAATTTCAAAATGAAACCTACCTTATCTGTACTTGATATTGGATTTGGAAGACTCTAGAATAACAAGTTTATGCTTAAACTACCCAGTCTATGGTGTTTAGCTAGGACAGTTAATACTTTCTTCCTAACTCAGATTCTGTTGTTACTTGTCAGATTAATCAGCTCTTTCCTCCCTAGACTTCTCTCGGCTGGAGCTACCCAGGTTTATGCTATCTTGACTCATGGAATCTTTTCTGGCCCAGCCATTTCTCGCATCAACAATGCGTGCTTTGAAGCAGTAGTGGTTACCAACACCATACCTCAGGAAGACAAGATGAAGCATTGCTCCAAAATACAGGTGAGAAGGATTCTTCCAAACAAAGCATACCTTAAGTGTTTTGTAGGTAGTAACATATATTAAACTAGGAATCTGAATTCTGAACCTTAACTTTTTTGTAAATTTTTACATTTATTTTAATTTTATGTGCATAAGTTTTTTGCACGCGTATAAATCTACCCAAGCATGAAATGTCTGCGGAGATCAGAAGAGGTTGTCGGATCCCCTGGAACTGGATGGTTTTTAGCTGCCATGTGAGTGCTGGAAACTAAACCCCAGTTCTCTGCAAGAGCAGCCAGTGCTCTTCACTTCTGAGCCATCTCTCCAGACCCTGAACCTTAACTTTTTTTTTGAAGGATTTTGTTGCTGCTCTTATTTTGTTTTGAGATAGAGTCGCCCTGTAGCCTAGAATCCATCTCACAAGTGTTGGAATTAAAGGCATGTGCCACCATGCCTATATACCTTAACTATTTTAACTTAAGTTTTTGCTTTTTATTTGTGGTTCTGGGCATGGAACTCAGAGCCTTGCTCTGGTAGGCAAATAGTGCCACTGAATCTCTAGCCTTCCTTTGTTGTTCTTTTTTCCCTTTTCATTTTTAAATACAGACTCATTAAGTTACCCAGAATGGCCTTGAACTCCCTTTGTAACCCAGACAGGCCTTTAATTTGAGATCCTTCTACCTTAGGCTCTTGAATAGTTGAAGGTTTGGCTTCTTTGTATATTTTGTTGATGTTTGCTTTGGTGTTTCTGAATAGGGGCACACTCTGTAGCCTAGACTCCTGACAATCATGCCCCAGCTTCCTGAGTGCTGAGATTGTAAATATGTTCTATTTTTTGTTTTTAAAATTTGTGTGTGTGTGTGTGTGTGTGTCCGTCCGTGTCCGTGTCCCACTTGTATGCAGAGGCCAGAAGAAGGCATCAGATTCCCTGGAGCTTGTGTTATAGGTGCTTGTTAGCCACCTGGCATTGGTGCTAGAAACTGAACTCTTGGGTCCCCTGGAAGAGCAACAAGTGTTCTTGACCACTGAGCCATCACTCTAGCCATTATAGGCATGTTCTTAGGAGCTTAGGCTGCTATCACTGTCTTGATGATCCTGATTTATGGGGTTTCCTCTATTATTAGCAACTTGACTTTTTCCTAAGTGATTATAGTAAAAATTGTTATGAAGAGTAGCTGAGTGCAGGATCCTTAGAAAGGGGACTTCCCAGGCTGCTTGTCTAGGCTACAGATGGGCCAGTGAACTCTGTCCGTGCATGCTAACTTGGTGTATTTCTTCCCTTTCTAGGTGATTGACATCTCTATGATCCTTGCAGAAGCCATCAGGAGAACTCACAATGGAGAGTCTGTTTCCTACCTGTTCAGCCATGTTCCTTTATAACAGAATTGACTTCTGAAGGTTTTTGAAAATAAAATCAACCCTATCCCCTTGTTTTTTCTTGGTTTTGATGACAAGTTCAGCAGAAGACCCAGCCTACTCCAGTGTAGCTTTTTACATCCCGCATTAGGTACATTAGAATTTCTCCTAAATTGAAAAAGACAGTTTGATATTAGCTGCTAGGATGTCTTACTCACATTCTTTCATCCTGGCTTTTGTGGCTGTTTTGTGAGCCTTGCAGCTTTATATAGAGCTCGGCTGCTGCAAGGTATATAGATTATTGAAGGTATTCCATAAGACCCTTATGATGTGATTGGCAAACTCAGAATCCATTGCATGTGAATGTTTGGGGTTTTGTCTTTGTTCAGAACAAACTAGCAACAAAGCTAGCCCATGTGTAAGTTTTCAGAGGTCTATGCTACACTATGAGCCCTGGGCAACCTTAAATATAGTTTTAGTAGTTGAGCACCCTGTGAGGCAGGGGCAAGTAACTCAATGCAGTAATTGTTTCTTGGGAGGAAGAAGCCTGATCCATTATCATCTGTTTAACTGTATAGCTTGAATTTTTTGTATCTATTCCTTTTTATTTGGCTTTACCATCAGCCATTTTGACCTTTTCCTGGCCAAATATCTTCCTGGGCTCAGTGATCATTGTACCATCGTCTTCTGTAAGGCATACTTACTTCCACTGTGTAACTGCTAACATTCACTTTAGATAATCTGCTATAGTGTAATCTTCCCTAGCCTACTGCCATTGTGGTACTAGGTTTTCGGTGGTGTCATAGTGCCTTTATTTTAAGTATTTAATTTTCATCTTCCTTGGATCCATTTGGCCTCTCAGTTGAACTCAGATTTCTGCTAAACAGTTTGATGTCATAGTCTCCTGTAGAAGAAACTTAATAAAGTGTTATGTGTGCAATTTGGGTCTGTGTCTACTAAATTTCTTTAAAAAGTGGCTTAGATGTCTTTTTTTTGGAGACCCCAGCTGGTCTGGAACTCACCATGTAGACCAGGCTGGCCTTGAACTCACAGAGATCCGACTGCCTCTGCCTCCCAAGTGCTGGGATTAAAGGCGTGCTACACCACGCCCGGCTGGCTTGGATGTCTTACTGTTCTGTGATAGCTCTTACTGGCTTCGTTTCCACCAAACCATTTTAGTTCCCTTGTTAAGAGAAACCAAGGCAGTGATTAAAAGACTTTTAATCTGGGGCTCACTGAGAATAAAGCATAATCTCAATTCTGTGCACTATAGCAGAATTAGAGGATGCATACTACCTACTGGGTCTCTGCTGCTTACTCCCAGGAACCCAAATTCCTATGCCTTCTGAACCAGTTTTACCTAATGTAATCATTTTCCTTCATTGACTAGTGTTTGGCATTTAATTTCAGCCCTAAGTATAACTTTTGAAAAGGTAAACATGCAGAATTCAAGCATGAGTTATAATGCATTCCAAAATTTTAAATGGATTTCATTGTACGTCATTGTATAAGGATGCTTTTTCTATGGGAACCTCCATGATTCTAGGGCTTAGTGCAGGGGCTTCTTTTAAAAAAAAAACTGGGCCTGCTTTTGTTTATTTACTTATGCTTTCATTGAATGTTGGGATAGCTTTATTGCAGTTAGACTTTTGATAAAAATGATTCAAGAGGGGCTAACATGACATATTTGTTCTGGAAGAAGCTGAGGAAGCCTTGATGCTTTTTCATGCTAATTATGCTATTTCCTGAAGTATTGAGCCATTAGGTCAAGGTTCATCATTTTCAAGTACAGTAGTTACTTATCCATAGAAAATACTATCTAAGACCCCTGGTATATACCTGAAAGCACAGGTTTCATAGAACCCTTTATATTCTAGACCTCCCCTGTACATATATTCATATGTGACCACCATGAAGTTTTATTCATAGACTTGGCACTATAATCGATGAACAAAATAGAACAATTATAACTACACTGTTGTGCCTTGGAACCTTTAAGTGAAGTAAGGGACCTTTAAGTGAAGTAAGGGACAGTTTTGTTTTAACTAAGGCCAACAGCCTGTTAGCATATAGAGTATGCAAGTGCTGGACAAAAAGATGATTTAGGCCTGCCCGGGGCAGAATTATGAGACAGCAGATCTCACGCTACTTAGAACAGCACACAGTTAACTTAGAAATGATTTTCTTTCAGGAATTTTCCACTTAATGTTTTTGACCTTGAATAACTGAAACCATATAAACTGAATAAGGGACAGCTATTTAGGTGAGGCTTTGAGACCATTCTGAAGAGAGCCTCAGTCCTCACCTTTGATCCCTATTACCTGAAGGAAGACAACTTCCTATGACACTCAGCAAAATGCCATAAGGAAGCACCTTTTCCTACAGTGGGTGAAATCCTAATGTCTTAGTCATTTTTTAAAAAACAATTTTTTAAATTAATTTGTTTGAGACAGGGACTCCCTATAGCTCCAGCTGGCCTGGAACTCACTGTGTAGACCAGGCTGGCCTCAAACTCACAGAGATCCACCTGCCTCTGCCTCCCAAGTATTAGGACTAAAGGTGTGTGCCACCATGCTTGGTAAAGCAAAATTTTAAAGGTGGGGAGTGAGTTATTTTTTAAAATATTTTACTGTTTTTATATTTTTATATGTATGAGCATATTACCTGCATGCATGTATGTGCACCCATATTGTGCAATGCTCGCCGGAGGTCAAAGGAGGGCATCAAATTTCCCTGGAACTGGGGTTATTAACTGTTGTTATCTGCCATGTAAGTGCTGGGAACTGAACCCCAATACTCTGAAAGAGCAGCCTGTGTTCTTAACTGCTGAGCCATCTCTCCAGCCCCTATTTTTATTATTTTTATTTTATGTGTATGTGTTGCTTGCATGTATGTGAGTGCACCATATATAGTATAATGCCCACAAAAGTCAAAAGAGGGTGTCAGGTCAGATCCCCTGGAACTGGAGTTATAGAAGGTTGTTAGTTGCTGGGAACTGAACCCAGGACTTCTATAAGAGCAGCCAGTGGTCCTAACCACTGAGCAATCTCAACAGCTCCTGATTTTAGAATTTTTAAAATTACATTTCTTTCTCTCTCTCTCTCTCTCTCTCTCTCTCTCTCTCTCTCTCTCTCTCGTGTGTGTGTCAGAGCACAGCTTGCAGGAGTCAGTTCTCCCCTTCTACCATGTGGGTCTTGTGGCTCAAACTCAGGTCAGGCTTGGTAGCAAGTGCCTTTACCCATTAAACTATCTTACCAGCACCAAAAGTTTTATTTTGTTAGAGTTTTTATTATGTCCTAAACCCATCAAGTTTTGAGGCAAGCATGCTTGTTGAGTCACCGTGCTAGCCCCTTTAGGGTTTTTTTGTTTGTTTGTTTAAATTTTTTAAATTATATTTTATGTGTATGAGCATTTTGCCTGTATGTATGTAAGTGCACCTGTGTTGTACAATGCCCATGGAGGACAGAAGAGGGCATCAGTTCCCCTTGGAACAAGAGTTTCAAATGGTGGCTAGCACCATGTGGGAACTGAACCCAGGTCCTCTTCAAGAGCAACCAGTGCTCTTCATGGCTGGGTCATCTCTCCTTCTTACCCTTTTTTTGTGGGCAGTAGTTTCTAATTTGACATAATCATCTGAACACTTAATATACTGATCCATATCTGGTACAGTAAAAGTATCACCAGTACATCTTTAGCATAGTTCTCAAGCACATTAGACAATCTTGCCAACTTTGCTATCTTTGTATATATCCATTAAAAAAGATCTCTGGGGGCTGGAGAGATGACTCAGTGGTTAAGAACACTGGCTGTTCCCAGGTTCGAATTCCAGCACCCACATGGCAGCTAACAACTGTCTGTAGTTCCAGTTCCAGGGAATCTGACAGCTTCTTCTGTCCTCTGTGGGCATTGTACAACATGGGTGCACTTATCTACATGCAGGCAATACACACATACACATAAAAATAATAAATAAAATTGAAAAAAAGATCTCTGGCCTGCCATGCTCCAGTGCATAGTTCTAAACCACAGTCACCACACAGATGACATTGGCTAATCTCAGTGGGTCACAGAATAAAACAGACAGGAATATGGCCAGTGAGATTGCTCAGCAGGTAAAGGCGCTTCCAAGCATGATGACCTGAGTGATATCTGGGACCCACATTGTGGAAAAGAGAAGTGACTCCTACAAGTTGCCTCTGACCTCTGCATATGCATTGTCACATGTATGCTCACTCATAACTTCACACATATATATACACACATGCACACAAAAGATTTTTTACAAAACACATGAAGCTGGGAGTGGTGGCACATACCTTTAATCCCAGCACTTGGGAGGCAGAGGCAGTTGGAGGTCTGTGAGATGGGGGCCAGCCTGGTCTACATAGGGATTTCCAGGCCAGCTGGGGCTACAGGGAGACCCAGTCTCAAAACAAAAGAAAAAAGAAACATGAATGTGGAAAACAGATTTGTATGGAGGAGGAAGGTTGACGCATGGGAAGGAAATTAGAGAGTAATTAGAATACATTGTATACATGTCTGAAATTGTCAAAGAACAAATTAATAAAAATTATAAAAATATTTCTCTAGGAATGACTCCCAATTACTAATGCCCACTATTCTAGTTATGTAACAGAGATATTTATTTTAATCATTTGTCATATTCCTGGCATCCTTTATATTGTAAGAAAGCAAAATTTATGTATTAGTATTTCAGGACACTATAATATTCATTAGACTAATGATTTATAGAAGTCTAAATTATTATTCCAATTTCTGTGTCTTGGGGAGTTCAAGATCACAGGTCCAGCTGACATACTCTCCTGTGAAGGCTGCCTGTCTGCCTTACGGATGGATCCCTGTGGCTGTATCACACCACATGGCAATAGGGACATACAAATCCCAATGCCAAACATTTTTTCAATGTTTTTTTATGTGTGTGTGTTTTACCTGCATGTATGTAAGTGCACCCATGTTGTGTAATCCCCACAGAGGTCAGAAGAGGACATTGGATCCCCTGGAACTGTAGTTACAGACGGTTGTTAACTGGGAATGCTGGGAATCAAATCCAGGTCCTCTACAAGAGTAGCCAGTGCTCTTAACTGAGCCATCTCTCCAGCCCCAATCTCCCCAAATTTTATTCACAATGGCACTAACATTATCAACTACTGTGGAAACCTACCAGATAATAAGAACCCTTATATCTTTTTTAAATGAATTTTTGTGAATTTAATATATTTTGATAGAATTTAGATCCCCTCCCCTATCTGCACCCTCTACTACTCACCATCCAATCTCATGTACTCTATTATATACACAAAGGCCTATAGAGTCAAGTTTGTATCCCCAAATGCCCAACCTTAAATGAATCTGATTTCCTCCCTCCCAACAGCCATTAGTTGCCAATAGTTCCTAGGTAGGGTTGGGGTTTCTTACCTACCTCCCCACATCCCTGCTGGGATTTTGTCTGGTTTGAGCTTATATGGAACTTGTGTATGGTGTCACCATTATTGTGAGTTCAACTGCCCAGTTATCTGGAAAACTTTCCTTATGGTCATCCACCACTTTGGACTTTCTAGGATTTTTGAGACAGGGTCTGTGGCCCAGACTGACCTAGAACACTTTAGCCCAGGTTTGCCTTGAATTGGGTGCTCCTGCCTCAGCCTCCTAAGAGCTGGGCTTACAGGCTTAAGCCTCTACACATCTGGTTTGGGGATGGGTTCTTAACTGTGGGGTACAGTGGCATGAGGAGGAGACAGCACTACAGTGGAACAGTTGATGGGAAACTACCTGTGATCTGAGAAGAGACCACCAGGTTCTGTTTCACACTCCCCCTCATGCCCAGCACCCAAGAAAATTACCTGTACCCAAGCTGTTTTGGCAACTTGCAAAGCTAATGCTTTTGTAAGATTGGTTTCATCTCAAATGGAGGCTATTGGTCCCA